ATCTCTAGTGGGGGGCAGGTGCCGGAAGCAGCTGATCGATGTTTCTCTTCCTTTCCAAGAATCAATTTTTTAAAAATTATAAGATTGCTTAGGCTATTTGAGGTTATTTGTGGTTCTATATAAATTTTAGGATTAATTTATAGTTATGTGGAAAATGTAATTGGTATTTTGATAGCAATTATATTCAGTTTGCCTTTTAAGTTGACAGTTGGTTCCAACAGAGAAAGCTGGATTTATTGTGCCACATAGGGAACCCATAATAGATCACTATATAGAATCTAGAGCTTAAAGGACGAATCTTTTCTCTCAGAAAACTCACCTTTTAAAAGCAGACCCCTGCATCATTATCTTTCATCTAGTATTGGGAAATGGATTAATTTAATCAGATCTGAGGTTGTATAATGCAATAATCATTAAGTGGGAAAAAGAATTAGGTGAGAATAATCATAACCTCCTGTCTCCTCACACACACCTACACCCCCTCGCCCCATTCTCAACTCCCAAGTATTTGCAAAATTATAAATCAGTTTCTCTCTTTCACTCCTGAGGATTAAATAAAACAAAATGAAATGAAACAGCAAATAAAATTACTTTAGGTGGTACTTTAAACTTATCACAAGCAAAATTATTGTCCACTGAGTGTGGCTGCGGACATTCTTAAGAAAGAAAAGAGCATTATGCTTAAAAGTTTATATTATTCACCCCAAAGTCAGAGAGCCAGAATAGTGATTACTAGCACTTGCTTCCAGCCAGTTAGTAATCAGTGGCTGCGATATTATGCGCAACATTAACCTCTCACATCTGTCACATCCAGTAGTCACAGCCACCTTGCAAGGTAGGTCGTACCTTTCCAGTTTTATGGGTAAGGCCCAGTGGAATTAAGTGACTTCCCCAAGGTCTTTCAGTTAATAAGTGGCAGAGCAGAAATTCAACCCAAGCTCTTCCCACTGGGCTACACCAGCATTTAACTTTGTCAAAGCAGCTGTCCAGTGGAAGCTTGAACCCCCCACCAGCCGCAGCGTGACGTGGAACCATCAAAGATCTGACAGCAAAGATTCTGATGCAGCCAAGTACTGTTCCCTTTGTGTGTAGCTCTCATAACTATGTGGGAGGTAGGAATTATCATCTTCATTTTACAGTGGAGAAAACTGGAGCACAGAATACATGCAACTTGTCCATGCACTTGAGTGGCAGAGCTGGGCTTAAAACTTGGCATTTAGCTATCTCAAGTTCTGATTTCCATTCCTTGGGCCTACACCCATTGAATGAAAAGGGCCATTTCTGCTTCACTTGGTTTTGCCACAGTACTTATGAATTTCAGAATTGTTTTTGTGGGGCGATTTTATGATAACTAATGACACAATGGCCATGAAATTAACCGAGGAACAAAATTCCAAGGCGCTAAAGATTTACACAAAAGCAAATGGTCTTTGTTCAATAAAGGCTGGATTAAATAAAATCCACATAAATATTTCTTAAACAAAAAAACCTGCCAAAGAAGCCCTGTTGTTTTCCCTCTGTGACACGAAATTATGAAAAACAACTATTGTTCTTTAATGGAGAAAATTAAAGTTTAAGAAGAGCAACACAGTTCTACCAATGACAGAAAATATCTTATATGCTGTAGGTGGGTCATCATGCAAACTTACCGCTCAACTTTCTCTGCGCACTTCCAGAAATTCACATTCACATCGTCCCAGTGTATGAGTAGCCTCCATAAAGACATTTGGAAGGCACAATTGATGTTAAGCAAAAATTCTCATTTTTAGTACTTTTGATTTGTTTTACTTATTACTTTTATTGTCTTAAACTGTGAGGCTATCAGCATTCTAAGCAGCTTCTTTAGTCCCCCAATTTGGAAAATAATTATATTTAACTCACTGTAGACAACGAGACACCTTTTTCTGAAAAAAAAAGGGGAGAAAGAAGAGCAAGGTTGGGGAGGCCTGTTATTTCTCTGTCTCCCCTGGTGTGGTCTCGGTATCTGGCAACGTCTCCCCCACCCCGACCACACTTGTAGTTCCAAATTTAAACTGAAAAAGAAGCACCTAAATACTGCTCTCCATGCGGCTTTGTAGGATAGAAGTCTAGGTATATCCCCCACAGAGATTCAGGGCCACTGCTAGCTGAAGTTGTGGGTAAGACTTGCCATCTTCAACTTAAACATTGTCTCTCCGAGATCTTTTATGCCCAGTACCTATGCGGCATGCTCTGGCTTCCCAGGTACCCCTAATCCAGTAACCCACATAGAGTCTCCTTTTGCAGGCAACAGTTCATGCTCTGGATTTTTAATTTTTATTTTTTGCTGCCCTTTATCAAAAATTACTCACACTTAATCTTATTCTCTCAGGTATAACTGTCTATCTTCCCAACTAGAATGAAGGCTCTATAGGGACCTTGGTCTGCTTTTTTCACTGGGGGATTTCAAGCACCTAGGACAGGGTCTGGCTCATGGAATGAAAGAACACACCCACCTATGTCATTATGTCAATAGCTATTAAAGGCTTAAGTCAGAACTTGCAGTGAGATATGGCCAATAGGAATGTATTCTTTGTCCTACTGAGTGTTTGAAACTTTTTTTTTTTTTAAGTTGAGAACATCCATTTAAAATTCCTAGCTTGTCTGAAAAGAGGTAGGAGATCTGGTAACAGTGGCAAGTGCCTTCCCTCCCTTGAATGGGGCATGGCCTTCCCATGTCCCTACCACTCCCTTTTGGCTCCCTGTACTGAGACTGTGTCAGTTCCAGTATTGAGGAGCCAGGGATCAAATTTCAGAATATATTAGCATATTGCACTTGGCCTATAATTGCCCTTTTTGTTGGAGATATTAGAATTTGCATATGTAACACCAGTCTTTAAATATTTTCCTTCCAGATAATGCCTTTTTGTTTTGCTTACAGCATTTCGAAGACTTGAAAATGTTTAATAACATGGTTAGAAATTTCACTTTGTGGAAGGAGAAGTACGTTAGGCTGGGAGAGCTTCCAGGTCACACCATAGAGGGGGCTACCTCTTCTTTCTGTGCATAGACCCTTTGCCTCGGAAAAATTGAGATCTCTAGGTTCTCCTGATTTTCCTGAGGGCTCTTTTCCCCCAAACCCTCAGAGGTTGTACTGTATGCATTGCTCTTAGTAGTACCTCTTTTTATATTTGGATACAGTTTTTCCCCAGATAACCATATTCATAGAGCCATTTAAATTCTTTTCTAATGCTTAATTCAGTTTGGGAAGGGTATTTCTTGTCACTAAGTTTATATGCAATGACGGCTTGACCACAGTCTACTTAACACAGCATGCAAGCAGCCAGTTAGAAACCATTTGGTGACGGAGAACAGCAAAGGTCCTCCAGGGAGATCACTCAGGCCTCAGAAGAATTTTCCTCTTGTTTGACCATGCACATAATTAAGAGTCACTGGATAAGAACAGATCACTAGGTTTTTCACATTTGGGGGAATTTGGTGTCACCTATGAGAGACATAGGTCACTTCTCTGTATCTAATTGGCTAAGAACCAGACTAATAATTCACAGAGATTCCTGCTGGGAGGATTTGGGGAGGGTGGGGAATTGTGCCACAAAAGATGGCCATAACTATGACTTTACCTAAAATGGTATAGTTATCAAAGCCAAATCATGTCAGTATAAAAAGAAATCATTTTTGTTAGGTGAAATGTACTGGGCTTAGAGAATATAGTATACAACTATTCTTACAATCTTCTTTGGCCTATGTTCATAGTCTAAATATATAAAGTTTTACATTTAGGAAACCTGTTATCTCTCTTTTTAAGCAACCTATATCCAATATATACATTTTTTTAAAGAATAGTTTATGATTTTCTAGAGAGAGAGGAAGGGAAAGAAGAGGAGAGAGAGAGAAACACCTATGAGAAAGAAACATCGATCAGCTGCCTCCTGCCCTCTCCCTACTGGGGATCTAACCCAAAACCTGAGCAGGAATCAAACCAGCAACCTGTTTGTGCACAGGACGACGCCCAACCAACTGAGCCACACTGGCCAGGGACAATATATACATTTTTAAGCTAAAAGAATTTATTTAATATGTAGGCACTTTCCCATGTTTAAGGCATAACAGAACACAAGGCAGGCGAAGTTACTTCTTTCTTGGAACTTACAGTCAGTTATATAATAAACAAATGAGCAAATGAATTAGTGTATCAGGTAGATGAAGGCTACAGGGGGAAAGGTAAAAGGAGGAGGTTGGGGAGGAGAGGAGAGGGGAGGGGAGGACACATGGTAAAGGTTGATCTTTTATTTAGTGAGGTCAGAGAAGGTGATGTTTGGGCTGAGACCTATAAGAGTGAGGGAGCCGGTCATGCAGAGACTGTGGGCAGGGTGTCCCAGGGAGGAGGAAAGGCAACTGCAAAGACCCCAGTGCAGGTGCTTGGTGTCCTCAAGCATCAGCAAGGTGGCGAGCCAGCCTGGAAAGGAATGGGCGTGGAGGAGAAGAGGCAATGTCACAGAGGAGCCAGGGAGCAGACTTGCAGGGCCTTCTGGGACGTCGAGAAGACTTTAAAGGTTATGTCAAGGGTGTGGCAAGTTGATGGAAGCGTTTAAGCATGGGAATAACTTGATAAAACTTACATTTTAAAATCAGCAGCGAGCCTTGGCCAGGTGGCTCAGTTTATTGGAGCGTCATCCCATAAACCAAAAGGTTGCAGGTTCAGTGCCCAGTGAGGGCACATACCTAGGTTGTGGATTTGATCATGGTCAGGGTACATACGGGATGCAACTAATCAATGTTTCTCCCTCCCCACCCCCCCCAAGTATGTCCTCTGGTGAAGATTTTTTTTAAAAAGAAAAGAAAAAAAGCAGTGATGGTAGATGTAATGAATTCAGTGCCCTTTCCAGGACTTATGGCAGGGGGTGCCAACCCCTGAATTCAGACTCATTTTGACAACAAATGGGTATAATCAAAGTTAGAATACTATGCAAAAAATATGATGGAAGAAAATAGTTTTAATCATAACTATTTCTCTTTCACAGCCAAAAAAGAGCATAAAATGGAAGAAAGTCACTTGGAGAATGCACAGAAAAGGTAAGCAGCTCTAACTTGGCTCCAGTTCTTTATTTGACTGGCCATTTTATTATTATTATTATTATCATCATCATCATCATTATTAAATACATTCCACATTGCTGTGCAACCATAACCACCACCCATTTCCTGAACTTTTTCATTTTCTCCAAAGGCAACTCTGGACCCATTAAATCCTAATTCCCCCATTTCCCTTCCCCTAGCCCTTGGCAACCACTATTCTAATATCTGTCTCTGTGACTTTGACTACTCTAGGTAGTTACCTCATGGAAGTGGAATCATACAGTATTATTCCTTTTATAACTGGCCTATTTCATTAGCATAATGTCTGACTGGCCATTCCTTTGGCCCCATTTGTTAAGATTGTGTGTCCATGAACAACAGCAGTCTGTGGAGAGCTGGAGTGAAAACACTGTAGCAGGACTTGGGAGTATTTTTCCTCAAGAAGCAGGAGATTTAAAAAAAAAAAGGCAGGAGATCATTCGGAAGTGACTCATATGTCATGATGCTATTTCTACCTGTCTGCCTCTCCTCCGTCACTCTGTTCCTGAACCACAAAAGTCAGGAACAGTGTGATGCTTCTTAGTATCACAACTAGATTCAACCAATTATTACAAACACCTAAGAGACTTATCATGTCTTTCCTCCGAGCCTAGAGGATATCGTGGGGAGAAGGGAATGACCTCTATACATGGAAAACTCCCCAAGAATTTGTCAGAGACTCCGAGGTCTTCTGTTCAACCTCTCCCCTATCCAAGCCTCTTATTTGCTCTTCTCTCAATAGCCATCAGAGTGGTAGAGGCCAGTGGTCACTGGTTGTGGTCCCTCAGAGAGCTTTTCTTGTCCAGCTTGGCTATCCCTCTCTCTTAGAGGGGAGCCTGGGAATATACTGAGGCATTCTCACACTCGGCACAAAGAATTGAGATAAATCTTGCTGGTACAATTCTAAAAGTGCTAGAAAGTTAAGTGAGAGATAAGAGCAGGGAACACATGTACGGAAAAATGGGCTTTACAAACGTGTAAGGAGAGTTCACTAAATACAAATGAACAAACTCTGGAAATGAACCATTTTCCTCCTGAGGGTTCTGAAAGCTTGAAGACAGCATCGTCTGCTCTGCTTTGCCAGGTCCCAGCATCTTGCCCTGCTCTCCACTATAACCAATAAAATTAAAATGCAGGTGAGAGCTAGGTTAAGGCCACTCCTGCATTTTTCTAAGTGCAGACATATTCTTGAATCATGATTATCAGCTTCACATGATCATCTTTGAAAACCAGGACGGTCACATGGTTGTGTTTTTAGATTTCTGTGCCCCCTTATTGGCCTTATCCCTATAATAAGCTTCTCTTCCTTGGTGTGCAAAAGCAGTACGTCTGTGTTATAGAAATAATCAGCATGTAGAAAAGAGACCCTCAACAAGGGCACATGGGTATCAGGCCAAACAGAAATTCAGTTTCCGGGGTGGATGTCCAATTCCTAATACTTCAAGATTCTTGCGTAAGGAACAGGGGGCCCACCTTCGAGGGGCCGGAGCTGCTGCTGCGCATTAGCCATGCTGAGGGGGGTCATAAATTCTGGTTGTCAGCGTTTTCCGTGACTTTGTGGTGAAGGTAGTCTAGCTTTCATGTCATACATGAAATATGTCCGATCCCATCTTTAATGTAGAAACCACAGTTGTTTGGTTACACTCTTTAAGGAGGTTGGTGGTCAGTGTTGCAATATTCGTGTGAGATTTAGGAAATTCTTAAGTTTTATTCTCAAGAGAAACAATTTACTCTGAGGCGAAGGGGTATTTGCTTTTCCTAAGCAGTTTCTGAAGGCACGCATGTAAAACAATCAGCGGATGTGTTTTGCGCTGGCCCCTCAGTACGGCAAAAGTAAAAGCGTTCAGTTGGCCACGGGCTCTTCGATATAATCATTGTCTGCACTTTAAAAAATGTTTAGCTGAACTGGAAAGATACAAATCAGACGAGGAATTGCAGCAGGGAGAAAAGGAGTCCGGGAATAGTTTAGAGCGAAGGGAGAAAGTTTTGTGAAACACGATCAGAAATCTATCCACTTTTAAAAGTTGAAAGCTAATTTAGAGCCATCTGCTGACAAACAGAAGTTTCAAAACCCATGACTGCCCCTTTGTCTGTTGGAGAAAATTCTCCTGGCTGTTTAAGATCGATCATTTTCAAGCCCAAATTTCAGAAGGTTTTCAATCATCAGTCTTCCCTGAATTGAAATTGTATTTGAAAGGAAGAGAGTCTTATTTGGGGAGGACAGTAGTCTAGACTTTATCAGATAGTTGTAGGTTCATAGACTAGCTTTTAACTTTTCCTTGAACAAAGGGGCAGCACTGAAGTCAGCTAAGGCACATCCCCGGAGCAGCTCGCCCTCCGTCAGGGCTGCAGTGCCAAGGCCGGGCCATTCTCTGCCACTCTGTTTACTTTGGTTCTTCTGAAGAGGTTCACTTGCCTTCTTCGTTTCCAAAACACACAGGGGGGAAAAATGCTGAAGTTCTGCCTTTCCTTTAGTTTTCACCCCCTCTGAGGGTTAGTGAGCAGGACCTCACAGCTCCCCAGAGGGGTGGTGGTGAGAGTACGTGGTTAGCATCAGTGTAGAGTTGGGAAAAGCGAGGCCCACAGATGATGACAGGCTTCCCTCCAGCGCTGTGATGCCTCCCCTCCCCCAAACAGTGCTGTCATTCTCTGCCACTGCACCAGCAGGCGCAAGGTCTTGGTCTCCCAGTCTAGACTCCATGTAAGGCCAGAGGTGGTGGGGTGACCCAGGACGCACCAGGACTGGGGCTTCTGTGCCCCTCACTGTACCTGCCAGACAGTAGGAAGACTCAGAGTGAAAGACTTTCTCTTCTCTTTAATGCACAAATAAATATGTGTCTGTATATAAGGAAGAGGAAAAGTAATGATGTGCTCTGCTGGGGAATGCACATTATGTGTGATACAGGGGCAAACTGTCTAAAGTAGAAACAGGAAAAAAATAACTTGAATTTCTTGAATGCCTGTGTCAGCGAGCATTAGCCACAGAAGGATAGAGAGGAAAACGCATTTCCCTGAGAATCAGAGGACCCAAAATATAGGCCCAACTCTGCCAATAAATAGGGACATTCAGTCTTTCTCGGTCTCTGTTTTCTCATCTGCAAAATAAGAATATCAAATGAGTTCACCTGTAAGTCTCTTCCAATTTGAAAGCCCCAGGACTCTATAAGAAAACCATGGCCTGTTCCTACTCTTATGTACTTCCATGCTACAATAAATATAATTTTCATTTTGAATGAGATAAAACTAAATGCCATAGAGTATGCTCTGGTTTTATCAATATTTTTCCTGCCACAGAATGAGGAGTCCTACCTGGATGAAAGTGGACATGGCTACTTTCTTCCATTGCTGGTTTTATACCGAAATATGTATGTTTGGTATTATAGGAGAGTCCCTTAAGAAATTACTGCAGTTATTGCCTTTCTCCACTTATACACTTCTAGTCTTTTAATAACTGGGAACCAAAATTCCCTGACCAGTAGTTTTAATTTGCATTAAAAACAGATTTATTATTTACAGAAGCACAAAGAATTTATGGGGCTCAGAGCTGCAGCTCCAGCTTGGATCTCGCCTAATCATAGCCATGGAATCAATTAACAGTTCATCTGTGAAATGTGATAAAATCTTATGAGATACATATTGGCCAATAACTGAGAACGAGATGAAAGTATGCTCCGTAATAGTAACGGGGCTTCGAGGTTTTACAATCACCATTGAATAGAGTTCCATTAGGAACTCAGTATTCAGGATGGCCGCAAAAAAATGCTGTGTCTGAACAGATGATAGAGGATTGAGTAGTAATAAACCTGGCCAGCCATTCCTGCTTTGATTAGTTTCCAACACCCTAGAAAAGAGAGCCATTTATTTAAGTGTTCTTGCTCATGGCAAATGAGCTTGTGAGGCTTGGGGTGGGTGGGGGTGGGTGGGTAGAAAGATTGAGTGCAGAGCTATAAATTGCTGCAAAGCTAGTGCCTCCAAGAAGGGCTGCTTGGGAGGCCCGGTAGTCTGGTGTGCAGTGAACCTCATTGGGGTAGTCAGGAGGTTCTTAGTGATATCTGGGAATCTACTTTGCAAATCCTGGACCAGACTGGAGATTATTTACTAAGATCAAAGATGATTTTCCACCCAAACCTTGCTATGCCCTCAATTATACATATATTTTTGTACATTGGTGGTTTGTATTTTTGTATCACATAAAGCTTTAAAATATAGCTGCCTTAAAGATCGTAGAGTCTCAGTCTCTTATTTTACCCTTGAGAAGATGGAGTCTGATGCTGAGTGATTGGCCCCGGATTACAAAGCCAGCGGGTGCCAGAATAAGAAGAGAATGGTCTTGATTTTCCATGAAACACTCCACAGATTAATCATTCCCAGTGGGCTCTCTGACCGACCACTGCGTAATGCTACAGGATCAATATGTCAGCAGTGTTCCTTGTCACATTACACTTCAGATGAAGAGCAGGTATACGTGCCATAGGTCGGAGATGAAGAACAAACCCAAAAAGTTCTACCTACACACCCCCTGGAATTATACCTGCTGGTTTGTATATGGATAAGATTATGTCCAGAAGTGTCCCTGGTCAAGTTGAATTTCTTGGAAAACGGATTTGAGCGAAGAGGTTTTCTGGGGTTTAGGCTAAGCCGCAATAATGGAGACAGAGAATGGACATGTGGGAACCGCCCCCAGTGCCCCCTGTCCTTACCCCAACGGTGTTGACAGTTTCTCACCCTCTGCCTCACTGTTTCTCCCCCTCCCTGTTGCAGTTTCGAAACGACAGTGGGATATTTTGGGATGAAGCCAAAGTCTGGTGAGAAGGAGATCACCCCCAACTACGTGTTTATGGTGTGGTACGAGTTCTGCAGTGACTTCAAGACGATTTGGAAGCGGGAGAGTAAAAACATATCTAAAGAGAGGTAAGGTCCTGATGGGTGTGAATCCTCCCCCGGGAGCCGAGGAAACAGGGCGCCTCAGACCTAACAGGGAGCACGCATTTCACACGCACCGGCCGTGTCTTTCAGGCCACGTGGGCCTGAGGAGGGCTTATTGCCTCGGGGCTCCTAGGGAAATTCAGTGGAGGCTCGCTGTCCACACAAGCAGATACTCTCACGTGGTCCGATAAGTTACACTTTCTTAACCCCTTCCAATTACTAGCTAGTAAATGAAAGGGGAGCTGTGCTAATTTGCAACAGATTGCTTCTCTGTGTATTTTCATGTTGGCCCAGGCTAAATGAGGTAGCCTTGCTGTCGCAGACAGTACAGACAAATAAAAGTGAATGCTTTTCCCATTAATATACTGAACTTGCATCAAAGGGAAATCTCTGAGACTCAGGCCACACTTAACACAGTGTTGAAGCCCCGCTCTGGATTTACAGCGCCACTTCTGACTCCCCGTATCCTGCTGAGGACATCAAACTGCCTGCCGCTCGGCCTCGTTGCAGCCTCCTGATTTTATTAGTTGGGGGTAGAAGGAAAGCCTCAGCTCTGAGTACAGGGAGGGTGTGTGTGTGTGTGTGTTCATTCTTCGAAAGAAACTGAATTTGGCCGTTTATCAGGAAAAAAAGCATTTCTGCTTCATCACTGTTCTGATCAGGTTGCCACTGTTCTACAGAGGGTGTCGTGGATTTAAACTTCAAACAGCCTTGCTCCTACCCCTGCAGAACAGATACATAAGAGTGTCAATCAAAGTAGGGTGGAAGGAGACCAAAAAATACTACCAATTAAGGGAAATGATTTATTTAATGAAAGCATCTGTATCTCACTGAATATCGAGACCTAAAATTCCTTACTTTAGTATCTTTGTTCTTTACTTTGTAATCAGAGAAAAGGTATATGCATAATATATTTACACCCACAATACACTAATATGTTTCACCTCAAAAAGCTATTTTTAAAGTGATCAAAAATTTAGAGACTTTAACCCAGTATTGCTGAGTATCTAAATATTTTCTTGGGGAATTTTTTCAAAAGCCTGCTTTCTTTCTAAGGAAGTCAAAGAGCTTTTATCAACATACCTTTCCACCGTTGCCTCTCTGGGAACATGGGAATTAAAGTTAGTATATCCATTGTATGGAGAAACTGAAGCAGAGAAATAGTGAAATGACATTTTTAAGAAAATAGATCGTTGATAACAACATGAAAAAAAATCCTAAAACTCTTGACACCCAACTCTTTTGCTCTTGCCCTGCAATTGCTAATTTAACTCTTTCAGCTTCTCCGGAATAAGTTCTGTTTCATGAGCTTCGTAGGAGAGTGGTAATGCCAAGATCCTCTCCCTCTCCAGGTCCACACCTGAAGGCTAGGAAACCTCGCAGTGGGCTCTGAATACATGGCCTTGGCTTAAGATTTTGCACCTCACATTTTGAGCATAGTCCTTAGTGGATTTGTCCTTGAGGTTGGAGCCCTAAAAAACAGTCCAAAAATGTAAAACAATAGAGAGGGTAATGAATTGCTTTTCACTGTAATAATCTTCTGTTGAAATACTCAAGTATATTCCAAATTAAGGAGTTTTTCCCCTGTCACTGAAGTGAAGCCAGATAAGTTGTGTGTCTGCAGTGGAGGTGGTGTCCTTTAAAATGACACATCCTCGATTCCTAGCCACAGGCATTCTCAGCGCTGCTTCCTGGGTGCAGCTGGTGAATCGCCCACTTCACACTTTGTAAACCAACACCTTCCAAGGGTCATGACTTCACAGGACCCTCCCCGGTTCTTCTTATTGAGCAGTTTCAGGGGCCCTTCATTCCAGCCACACTGTGCGAGATGGATCACCAAGGTTTCCAACACAAACAATAGCATCTTTGAAAGTTAACGACGACGACGGCTCATAAAATATTTTTGGAAGCAGCTTGTTTACAAAAAATCTATTTGCTAAGAGATGTTAGCACATTGTGTTTATTACTGCTTAGCCAGTTAAACAAATTGATTAATATCCCGGATTTTCTTGTGAAGTGAGGATGTTTTATAATTGTCCTCTGTCTGCTAAGGATTTTAAATGTTTATCAACATTTAATCACATATTACTATAGTAAAATAAGCAAATTAACTTGAATTCTTCTATTGTAATTAAAATGAGAAACAGTGTGATTACTTTGACACCTAATTAATGGTGTTTGATATTATCATTTTTTATTATACTATTCCCAGAAATCCAATAAATGCCAACAACACTAAATGCCAGAAGGTAACATAACATAGCGCAAAGTCATCCTCAAAAACAAAATTCAAATGAAAACCTGATGGCTTGTAATTATGAGGAAAAAGAAAACAGTGGTTTGGATCGCATCAGGAGAAATTTCACCCACTTGGTTTTTAGATATATCTGAAGCCCAACTAAAACCCCAGATATTAGGGGAAATGAAGGATCAATAATAGTCTTTTCGAAGGGACAGATTCACTTCTAAGTGGAAGGGAACCGAAAACAACCTTAAGCCACTTGAGGTCAATTTCAAGCGGTAGAAATTCTTTACTTCTTGCTCTGCTTAGTATGGTTTCCATGAAAACACACTAGCCTGATGCAGAATTGAGTTGATGCAGCTCCATATCGGGGTAACAACTGCCCCTCGTGAAACCCGAAACAATTCTAAACACACAGGTGACGGTCTAAGAGCGCCCGGTGCCCCTGCGCCTTGCGCCTTGTGAGTGAGTGATGAACCCTGCCCTTCCCAGGCGTCAGGGCGCCGTGCTGTGTGTGAGCAGAAGAGATGGTATGTCACTGGCTGTATGGTTCACCTGCAAATTCACTAGATCCAGGAGAAGAGCAAGCTGCTGTACGATGGGTGGTGTATTGATGGCATTGAACTTTCCTTGTCCTTTGAGCCAAAGTAGGCAAAAGAGCAAACTTCTGTGCCCAGCACAGATCCAGAATGTGCCACTCCCTAGACCTTTTTTCTGTCGCCCACCCAGCCTTCCTGCTGCCCCTGGTACTGGAACTCACCCTCCAGTAAAAGGTACCAGGCCCTTCCCTTACCCCTTATGGGTACAGGCAACGAGTGCTCACCAGTGAGAAAAACACCTCTAAACAGAGAGTTAGAAACCAGCATTTTTACGCCATTAATTTGCTACTTGACCTTCTACCGATCACTTATTATTACCTGGGGGACCCAGCAACCTATCACGTCCGTAAAATGTATGTATGGGAGGAAGCTGGAACTAGATGTACGCGATGATTTCTTCTAGCTTGAAATCTCTCTAAATCTAGAAACTACTTTTCTAATATTCTAAGAAACCGTATGTTTAATTTCTGAAATGCTCCTTTTCATTAATCTTGAGCTCATTAGAGACTACATTGGAAGGCATTTAAGCCAGCGTCTGGCAGTGAGTGGGGGGAGGTTTGGAGCAGGGAGAATTTTCGTTGCCCTCTTGGAACTGGTAAATGTCTACAGCTACCTTGCCTTATGTCCCCAGTTCTTCCCCTAAAATACTGCTGTTGGTCTTAAAAACCACTTTTTTTTTTGGAAAGTGTACATGCAAAAAAATACTTTCCTCTGCTCGTCTGTACCCAACCTTGCATTTATGGCTTATTAAATGTCATCGGGATTTTTATTCTCAAAAACAGCTTTGCCTCAATTTTACCTTTCTCATGCACTTTTGTATTTGTGCCTCCTGATACACAAACCTTCTATGGATGTTTGTAATACACATTTCTTCCAACCATTAAATCAGCAGATTATTCAAGCACATGCATAGTTGCAAAGAAGTAACCTAATTTTGCTGCTACATTTATTACTACTCTCACTCCCTGTTTAATTACTCCCGGATATAGGATCCTTCCTTATGAAATGTTCCACCACTTAGGATATCCTAAGACTACTCCCCTCATATGACCACACATACATACATAAAGGCCACAAACCACTACCACCCACAAAACGAGCTATGAATTTGCCAAAAGGTAAAGAAGTCCCCGAGGAGTCATGACTCCAGGAATCAAGTCTTGGCAAATAATTTACCCTGAGCCAAAGCAAACTTTCAAAGTGCCATTTAAAAAACCCATAATGGGTAAGTAATGAGTGAATAAGGAGCTTGGTGAATTTTATGTGAAATGCAAATAAGAAATTCTGTTACGCACATAGCTATAATTTACACTACTGTTTCTTTAGTTCAGCTAAACACCAACAGGGGTTTTGTTTTAAGTATATTATTTGCAGCTATTATGGTTAATGATGCAACTGCCATCCCCTTGACAGCAGATGGTTCTAGCTATTGTGGGGTTATCCCCAAGCTGTTCTCAGAGCTCCCTGTTGCTCAGGTCACGTTAGGAGCAGGAGTTGGGGACTTAGAGAGACCGTCACTCAACCCACAAAGAAGCCATTGATTGCAGTGTAGACGATGTAGGAATTCTTCTCCTCATATGAGAAAGTTATTCCTGGAAAAAGTTCCATGAGCTAACATTTCCATTTATTGAAATCTGCTTTCCTGCTGACATGCATCCATGATCATTACAGTAACTTCTCACAAGTTAACTTTCTCTCCCCTCGCCCTCCGTTTGTGGTTAAATGGTTTGTGTACACTTCACTACTAGGAAGCTTCATATTTTAAGGGACCCATTTAACTTACCCATTTAATTATACAAATCACCTTCTAGTTGGCTGGCAAAACTTTGAATTTTCCTCAGTCACAGTTGAAGGCAGCTCTGTGGAACCCACAAACAGTAAGTGTCCCAAAGAGCTAACTTATAAACAGAATCATCGTAATCACGAAAAATAAAACCCGCTTCTTTCCCAAGCAGTAAATTTAAAATTACTGCTGCAATTTAAATTTAAAATTAAAACTATGCCATGAATAAGGAGAGGAGATAGACTTTATTTATTTTTTAATTAAAAATTCCCTTTGTGTGTTTTTTAATTCTTTCTTTAAAAAAATATATCTTTATTGATTTCAGAGAGAGGAAAGGAGAGGGAGAGGGAGAGAGAGACAG